CGTAACTTCTCCAGATGTGGTTCCCACAGCCAGTCCCTGCCCTCTCATGAGTCTCCTAGGCCCTGTGGGTTGTTTCTCTCCTCGCTCTGCTCCTGGCTCCTCCTTGCTTTGCTGCTGCCCTTTGAACGTCCTGGCAGAGCAAAACCCTCTCCCTTCCCCTGCCCTGGGGACGCCGTGGAGCAAAGTCCCACCCTCCCGGGGCAGCCTGAGCAGGTGGACACGTGGCCAGCAGAGCCTGCTGGATCAAATACCTCCAGAGAACATGCTTCACACTGCACAAGCAGGCAGGCAGCCACAGCCTCCAGCCCTGCCACCTCTTCGGTTGCTCTACTGCTCATTCCCTCTTTGTTTCAACTCCTTCTCCAAGAAGGTTTGCACACAGGTGCATGACACTGACCCTGGAAGAAAGGGCACAACAACAAACTGCTTCTCGGGCACGTGGGCCTGTCCAACAGCCAGTGATGTTCACCAGGAATGGCTCCTTCACTGCCTCTCCCCGAGCCCCAGCCCCCTTGCTGCCTCTTCCCTGCGACTATCCTTGCAGCCATGAGCGAAGCCCCACAACGTCACTGCAATCTGCTCCCCCACAGCCAGGGAGTTAACAGGACAACTCTGCCCATGCTAGGACAGCATGAGCCCTCCAGCTTGATCTCTCCAGCTCCAGGGTATCGGATCGGGGAGCTGGGGAAGGTTCAGGGATCAAGAATACAGGCTCTGAGGCTACTATAGCCAGGGCAATTCAGATCAGAAGCACTGCAACAGTGTTGATGCAAGAGACGCCATTCCCATCTGCAACAGTCCCTGTGTGGGTGCCAGAATGCTGGCCCTTATGCCCTGGCCTTGTGCAATTACAGAAAACAGCACTTGCCCTCCACATATTTCCAAGCGCTACAACAACCTCCCTATTTCCCTGTTTCATGCTGCTTTTAAATAGCTGCCATCCTCGCCCAGCTCTGCAGGATGTATGGTAGCAGCAAGGGAATCAGTTCCTATACAGTTGACAGGTGCAGCTCTGCAGACATTTACAACATGCTGCAGAAGACAAACAGCCAAGCCAGATACCCCACAGGAACCTCCACTGGGCCCCGAGACAGCAGACAAAGCAGGGCTGGGGGTTTTGGTGAGGAAAATACCTTGGAGGTGCTTGGGGCACAGCAGGACTCACAAGCAAAGGGTAGCAGTGAGTCTGGGGATGCTGCCCCTTTGTGTGTCCCTCCCTCTGCACCTCTGAGAAACAGGGGCAAGCAGCTATGCGGGACAGTTAGGTAACTGTAGCTATGATGGTGATCCTTCAGTAAGCCCCAGGGTTTCTCCAAGGCTCTGCCATGCCAGCTGCCCACCTGAGCGGGAGGGCCAGACCCCCCCCTCCCGTCCTAGAGCAGGGCAGGGGAACACCCAAGACCACCTCGCCGGCAACTCCCGAGCATTTCATTTCTGTGTGTACCTTGTTTGGCTTTCCTGGCGCGCACAAACTCGGAGCGCGCCAGGGTGCTGGGAGCCGTCCGCCTGTAGAAGCTGTTCCGCTGCAGCAAGGAGCCCCCGCCGGCCGCCTCCTGCTCCCACACGTGGCTCCAGTCCGGGCGGCCCGTGCGCACCCTGGCGCGCTCTGCACCCCGTGTCCGTGCCACCTGCCCTGGTGCTGCTCCTCCTGGCTCCCCCTGGCCGCCGTGTCCCACATCCCACAGCTCTGACTCCGCACGACAGGTTTCTGACTCTGGGCTCGCGCTACTCTCTCCTGAGGACCATACTGCACAGGCAGGAGCTTCACAACTTGCAGCCAGGTTGCTGTGGGCCGTGACATGGCTCTTGGGCTGCCTGTACTGCTCAAAGTCCTGCTCTACATCCCTGGGATCTCTGTACCACCTTCCTCCTTCACTATATGCCCCAGGGCCTCTTTGCTCTCTATTCCACCTTTCCCCCTCCCTCTGTGCTCCACGGGCTCCATCCTCCCTATACTGCCTCCCTCCATTCCTGTACTCCCCAGGGCCCCTTTCCTCCCTATATCGCCTTTCCCCCTCCCTATAACCTCTCTCATCCTCGCTATAGTCCCCAGGTTCTCTGTCCTCGCTATACCGCCTTCTTCTGTCCCTATACTCCCCAGGGCCTCCACCCTCTTTACATTGCCTTTCCCTTTCCCTATACTTCCTAGGGATCTTGTCCTCTCTACGCCACCTTCCCTCCTCCCTGTCCTTTCCAGATATTCTATCCTCTCTGTACTCCCTTTTTATCCCTGAATTGCAGTCCCTATATTGAATACCTTCCTCTTGCTCATACACCCCATAGTTTCCACCCTCTGTATCTTGGCTTTTGCTCTTCCAAGCACCCTCTGTCCTTCTGCAGTCTGTATGCTGGTTTCCTCCCTTCCAGAAACCTTCCTTGACTCCGTCCATGCTCCATCGGTCCACAGAGCTGCTCTCCTCTCTCCTGTTGCCGGCCCAGTCTCTGTCCACTCCTCTGCAGTCCGTGTGCTGCCTCAGGACTCTCGATGCATCGTCATTCCTGCAGTCCTCGTTGTGCAGCGCGCTCACCCCACCAACGTCCTCGTATTCCCAGCTGAGCAGCCGCGGCTCCTGCCTTGGATCTGCTACTCCGTATTTCGCTTTGGGATAAGTGCACATAGTCCTCCAGGGTGCAGCGAGGGTGCTGAAGCCCTTTGCGCTCGGTAGCAGCCCCAGCCCGACCCGACACCACTTCTCCCCTCTGCTCCAGCGCTCGTGCCGAGGGAAACACAGGCGCCACTTCCTGAAACCGGGCAGCGAGGGTAGGACGCGCGTGCCCAGTCACCGCGAGCCTCAGCCTCCTCCACCTGCTGCCCCGAGTAATCAGTAACCAGCTCTGGGAGGGAGGCCCTGGGCTCTCACCGCCCCAACCGGCTCGGCCGCTTTGCAGCTTTGCTGCTCAGAGGCAGGGAAAAGGAGCGCACTGGAGCATGAGGAGGCCGTGCCCCGAGACCAACAACCCCAGGGAGGGGAAAGAGGCGCCTGAGACTGTGGAAGCCACAGAGCAGCTGCTGGATACCAGAGCACCTTCTCCTGCCTTCGCTCGCCTGCTGCCGGTGGCAGCGCTGAGCACCAAGCCCGAACCCCTCATCCAGCAGGGCCGGCGCTCCGCTCCACACCTTGCTGGGCAAAGCAAGGCCCTTGGGCGGCTGCCGTTAACGCGCTCTCTCTGCACGGCAGAGCGTGACTGAGCGCAGCCCGTGGCGTGAGGGCTGCCCCCTTCCCTCCCTGCGCCAGGGTGAGGGGCTGAGGGGAACGCGCTTGGCAGGACCACGTGGGTTCCTGAGTGCCCTCACCCACAAGCCTGCGCAATCACATAGTAACAGTTACTGGGAGGCTCTTGGTCACTCCAGAAACTCCTCTCATCACAAGCCACCAAGAAACCTCAACTTGCCGTGTCAGACTAAGGTGCTCTAGTGAGAAACCAAGAGATGACCACATTGCCCCCCAGAGAAAAGCAGGAGAGCCCAGATAACCTCCATGTCTTATATTCTTGCAACATCTGCCAGGCGCGCAGCATCACCAATGCTCCCAGATGGCAGGAGGCAAGAATAAAGCCAATGGGCACTGCCACTCCAACTGCAGGAGGGCAAGGACCAGCTCCTGCACCAGCCTGGCAATCAGCTGAAGTCAAAGTGAATGAGCAAGACAGGTCAAAGCAGCAGCCCACTGATTTCAAACATATGCAGCGATGAATGTGCACTTTCTGCTTGTCTTGACAGTGGTTTGCAGCAACAGCCATCCCATTTGGAAAATCTTCCTGGAGATTCAGCCTAGATTTTCCTCTTCCTAATTTCCAGTTACTTCTTTTAGCCTCAAATCTTCTAGGCATCTCTCTCACTCCACTGACGTGGAGGTTGTTTGTTACCCTGTTTCCCTATTGCACAGATATCATCATTCGTTCCCATGTGCTCAGCATCAGACAAATCCTGCAGCAAAGTGCCTGGGTTCTCCAGTCCTATTTAAGAAGTGGGAGGATGGAGGCAATGAAGTCAGAGTGAGTAATCCCAAGTCAGGAGTTGACATTTCACTCCACCTCCTGGTGCAGTGCCCACATTTCCTGCAGCTCGTGGGCTTTGATGACAGAACCTCACTGTAAGAGCTCCTTGGAGAAGCTGGGAAAGGGACTGTGGGAGACTTGATGCAGTCCCATGCTTTTACTTGCTCTATTGTGTTATCAGCTGTAAAGCGGTCAATAGCACTGATCTTTATCACATCTTTGGGTTTCTGAGCCCATACGCGCTGATACGCACAGAGCAAATCTCTTCTCCCTGAGTAATTCTGGGCTGCACAGACTAATGTCACAGCTTCAGCTACAGACATGTTGCAATCTGAAGGCCTCTGTTGCTGTTATGGGCAGCACAGAGTCGCCTTTCCAACAGCAGCTGAAATTCTGAATTCCAAAGGAGGAAGGCAGGCAGGGACATTTTTTTACTTTTTACCCACTAACCCGTCCCACCGCCAGGCCTGGTTCAGTGCCCTTCTGTGCAAACTCTCTGATTTGACTGGCAAGTCCCAAAAGCTCCGTATTGCCCCTGGCGCAGCAACCACCAGCAAAGCTCATACCCTCCCAAGTTGGGAGCTCTCACTTCACACACATTAACTACC